GATGCTCACAGGACCTCTGGAGTATGTGCCGCCGACGGAGGTGGAAGTAGTCGTCGTCAGAAAAGCTATACCCCTCGACGAGAATGAGGGCATTTACGTGCGCGAGAAGCGCTCTGGTCAAGTGCGGGCGGTCATTGGTTCCTCCTACATGCTGAATCAGGACGAGGAACTCTGGCCCAAGAAACTTTCCCCCGCAGTAGAGCAGATATTAAGAGCCAACAAGGATCCTCTGGGTGAAAGGGCTGACTATCGAAAAAGAGGCGACGATGGAGAAGACGCCTGGGACCCTACCAGGGTATGCGTGTGCCCGTACTCAGCTTTCATTTGTTAATTTTTCCCCTTAATATGCAGACCGTATTTGTGTTCAAACGATTTAATGGACACCGTATAGAACAAACACCTGTCTGTCAAGGACGATAGTTCTCTATTATATGGTCATATATAAAAGAATTTTGCAAGAAAAGGCGATCTCATAAACCATAGTTTTATTGTCTTGACGTCTCAGAAGTAGACAAGCTTTCATCTTCGGAAGTAAGCGTATTATTGTGCCTCAAAGTATTTGTAGGTGATGACAGTCATGTTAAAACGAGTTTACCTAAACAGTCAGGACGACAGGGGGAAGGGGTGGGTAGAAACTCCTTGAGCGTCTTATGGTGGGATGAGGGGATGATACACTAACGAGGACGTTGGCAGACGGGGGAAAAGGGAAAGAGGGTGACGGACTGTCCTCAATCTACTTCCCCCTCGTCGGAGGCCGGCGTTGAGACGTTGGCAACCGTCGTTCGTACCCTCATTAAATTTAGATGTCCTCCTAGGCTGGCAGTCTTGTTTTCGTTGCTACGACTATCCGCTTTCTCGTCTGCCGGATTAGTGGATGGTACGGCTTTAATAGTGACTGCCCATTTGTCAGATCAGTGTTGTGGTGCGTCCACGTGCTGTCCGCCGTGGACTCGCTCATGCTTGAATTAATGTTTGGTCTAGTTTTGCGTTTGCTCTTTTATTCATCGGGCTGCACCCAGAGTGCTTAGTAGGCCGCAGGAAGCGCCGCACAACGGTCGATAGAGGTTGTCCCCTTGTACCAGGCCTCGATTTTTTCCCTAGCTACGCGGTCGTTTCCTTGATCCAGACTTTCGGTATTCTGGAAGGCGAAGAGTTAAAGTTCACGTAATGCTTTTCTAACTGACCCTTTTAAAGAATAACAAATGTACCATCTACGTAGCACAGCCGAAATTTCGAGTTAACTGTGGGTTGAGTTATAGCCTCCTATTTTTGCAAAAGCTTGATGTTGGCAAACGCATGGGTACGCCGTTTTATTGTCAATAATATTGGTCCAGGAGTTCAAGTAGGGCTTCCGCAGGTACATCAGTAGTGTAGGCCGGCGGGAGTTCATCAGTGTGCCTTTTGACTATCTCCAGAGGAGTAGTCGTGAATAGAAAAATATCTTTAGATGCTGCCACTCTCTCGTTGTCTGCAACTTTCAAGTTTTTCATATTACACAGACAATCCACCGAGTCTTGAATAGGGGCTTCAGAGTTCATAAAAGGGACGGAGTTTGATATCCTGACGTTTGGTGCGCCATTTGACGTATATTTTGACAATCGATGGTTCATCCTGTTCCAAGTAATTGGAAAGAACTCTCCTGCTTTTCCAGGATCGTTTTTACTGCTGATTTTTTTTATATGCGACACTCTGGAACTTGTTAGGTTGCCATATGCGTTCTGCCAGGATGAAAATTGTGGGGTTACATACGGCAGTTCTCATTATCCCATGAATGAAACTACAGATGCTCTCACGTATAAGCACTTTGCTTTCGTACGTACAGGTTGTATCCTATCGCGTGCCGCACAACGCCGCCGTCCAGATCTACGACTACAAGGGCAAAAAGTCGCGTGTTGTATTTGGTCCCGAACGAGTCCTGCTTGGACCGGACGAAGAGTTCACTCTCCTGAGCCTCAGCGGCGGCAAGCCGAAACGCACCAACATGATTAAGACCATCTGTCTGTTGCTGGGTCCTGATTTCTGCACTGATGTTCTAGTTGTGGAGACCGCTGACCACGCACGTCTCTCAATCCAACTCTCCTACAACTGGCAATTTGAAATCCCGGCTAACCCGACGCAGGAGGATGCAACGAAACTGTTTTCTCAACCCGACTTTGTAGGCGATTTCTGCAAGGCCATTGCAGCTCGCGTGCGTGGCATTGTGGCTTCAGTCAATTTTGATAGGTTTCACAAGGTGCGTTTGATCTACTCCCTCTTTAGATATGTCTGGCAACCGCGATGACTCGGGGATGTTGATAACGACTGACTTCACCACAATTTACTTTGGCTTTTAGAATTCGGCCTCTCTGATCAGACAGTCTGTTTTTGGCATCGATGCCGAGGAGAATATTGGAGACCGGCTTGTATTTCCACAGAATAACCTCGTGGTGACTAGCGTGGACGTGCAGGCCGTTGAGCCGGTAGATCAGCGCACACGGGATGCGCTGCAGAAGTCTGTTCAGTTGGCAATTGAGATCACGAGTAATTCTCAGGAGGCCGCCGCCAGGTAAATTGTTGCACATCAGTTTTTTCTTCTGTTTGTCTGTACCATCCTAACTATTTTGGTTCCAGACAGTGCGGTTTTACAGTCGTTGATTTTCTTGACAGTCACTTTCCGAGCACGGCGGTAGTCACAGTACTGCGTTTCCCTGCAATTCTTTGGATGTAATTATTGGTTACCACGTCAGGTGTTTAATAAGTATCCACAATCTGGCCTTCTTTAGCCAGCTTACCAAGGATGGTTTCTTAGTATGCTGTCTAAAAAGCCTTACTTGAGGACATTCATCCCCCTCGCCCCAGAAAATGAGATCTTAATCGACGCCACCATGGCCTTGTGACATATAAAGGCCGTGTTAATTGCGGACGTCCTGGTATGAATATCAGTCGTTGTAAAGACTGGAGGGCGACCTTATGACAGGCCGAATGGACCCCGGCTACTTGGCGTTGTGCTGAGAAAAAGCGAAAGGTGCAGGCACCAATCGACGGCGGTACACACTGGCGTAGTTCAGCTGACCTTTCAGATGTGGTTAGCTAGGCAGCCAAACATGATATCCGAGAAGAAGGTCGTTATCTGCACGTCTGGCCGTTCTGTTGCATGCCCTGCCAAGGTCGTCTGTTGTCAAGCTTTTCTTTCACACAATATGGCACACATACCTATGGTGATTTTTAGACCAAATCCTAAAGCTTGCGTAATTTTCAATGTCGAACCGATACTTTGAAAACGGTCTCACCTAGTGAATGATTGTGGTGCGAAGCGAAGACTGAACTTGGAGTTTCCTAACTCCCAAGTACCTACAATGACGTTAAGTCTAGTAAGCCGTCGTCATTCTTGACTCTTAGCTGCTGTGTAGAAGTTGACCGATTTACCGGTCACATGTACAGATCTTTTGACCCTGTGTGCTGTGCTTTGCGAACGATCTTCCCATATGGGCGTTTTACCGGCTAATTTTGGTCGCAATTCATTCCGTGCGCATTTGACTCCCTTACGTTTTTTCACCTTCATCACTAGTGCCCCTACCTTTTTTCTCTCTTTCGTACTGTTTCCCCATACACCCGTGATTAGTCTTTTGTTACTTTCGGGCCGATCTGTACGTTGATCCTTCTGTCCTGTTTACTGTTCAGACAGGAGGCCGAACGACTGAACCAGGAAGCCCGCGGCAAACTAGAACGTGAACGAATTGAGGACGAGGCAAAGGCTGAGGAGGCCCGCCGTCATCTGGTGGAGCTCCAAGTGCAGTCGGCCACTCTAGAGAGCACCGGTCAGGCCAAGGCAGAAGCTCAGAGTCGCGTGGAGGCTGCTCTCATCAGCAGTCAGGCTGAAGTCGAGAAAGCCAGGCTAGAGACTGAGGCGGAGGAAATAAAAGCAGTAAGTTGTGTCTGTCCGTCCTCTCTCTCTCTTAGTCACCTTGACCAGTAGAAGCCATATCTGGGGATTGCTAGCTGTCAACTTGAAGAAGTTGACAGTTTTAAACACCTCGGGGCGAGGCTCCTGCTAAATGGGCAGAATAAGGATGAAATTGTCTCCCGATTTGATGCTGCCCGGCGCGTTTCTCAGGTCTTCGAAAATGCCTTTGGATCCGACGCGACCTCCCCATCGCGTGGACCGTGCGTCTGTCCCGTCTGTTTTTCTTGATGGTTGTGAATGCTGAGCTGTGTGCGTGGAGAACGTGCGGAAACTGGAGGTATTTGACCGTCGCTGCTTGAGGACCATCCTTCGAGTGAAGTACACCGACTTCGTCTCAAATGAGACAGTCAGCGCTCGCTGCGACAACATCGCAAAGACCACCCAGACCATCCAAGAAAGACGTCTGAGGTGGTTTGGGCATGTTCTTCGTCGTCCATCTCAGGAGCTCAGTGTTACTGCCTCTCTCCGGCACCGTTACACCATTGGAGGCGTCGAAGAGGGAGTCAGCTCAAAACCTGCCTCTACACAGTTCGTCAAGACACTGAGGTGGATCTTGGACCTTCGGTATTCCGTCTCCGTAGTTGTCGAAGAGAATGGATTGAATTGTCCAGATCTGCTGCCGCGAATCGTCACGCGTGGAGTGGTACAGTTCGGGACACCATCTAGGCCGACTAGATCAGGCATGATCGCAGCCGTACCAAGTACAAGTAAGTTAGTCACCTAATCACTTTCTACCCCACTCATGCCGTGTATGTCTGGTTTTCTTTGTAGGACGCGGAGCTGGAACGTTTGAAGTTGGCCCGTGAAGCGGAGTTGGATTATATACAAAAGAAGAACCAACTAAACCTCGAACGCAAAAAACAAGATGTGGAGATCGAAACAGCTTACTTCCTCAAGCGAGTTGAGGCCTTGGGTGCCGAAAACCTTCGTCGCATTGCCTGCGCCGGACCGGAGCGCGATGTGCGCATGTTGCGTGCCCTGAACCTGAAGAGCACCCTCATTACAGATGGTCGGTCGCCAGTGAACTTGCTGGATGCCACATCAGGCTTGATAGGACAGGCCAGGAGTGCTATTCACGTCCGGCAGTCCGAGGACCAGGTTGTTGCGCCAGAGCCTGTGACTGGAGAGGACGACAGTGCCGATTAGCCCAAAACCTCCACTTGTCCTTTTTATGTCTTTCATAATTTTCCCCCCAGACGTCATTTTTTCACCATACATGTTTTCTATCATTCTAAATGCCTTTCCTCTCTAGAAATAGAAACATTGTAGAATTATTTTCGTGTTTACCGTCTGCATAGCCTGAACATTTGTTATCCAAATTCCTACGGGAAACGACCTCAGCAGCATTATGCACTATCACTTTGTGTATATAATTTATTTCTTTCGTAGCCGACCGTTTATTTAAGCAGATTTTATGGAACGAAAATAACCTCCAGGTATACCTCAGGCCTTCTTGGTCTATTAGGGCGACCGTTCTGCCTAAGTACAGTAGGTGGTAAACTCATGAAATTTCAACCGAAATTCCGAAATGTGTTTTTGTTTCGAAAAGATTAATTAAGGAGGGTTATAAAACTAGTTAGCCTGCAACATTATTATATAATATTTCAATTACCTCAGGATGCCGGCTTTCGAACGAACTTCCTTCCGGCTGCATGCAGAAATTACAGTCTTTAAAGAATGACTATTTCAATAGCATACATTTTTCGCATTGATTTTCGATGTCCCTAAATGTCCTGTATTATTTTATGAAAAACATGCACAAAAATATTCATTCTTCTTCTAATTCAGTAGATAACTACGTTTTCTTCTAATTTTATACTCGAAGGAAGGATATAATTCGGTTTCAAAGAAGTTTCTAATTGTGGGACTTTTAAATACCGTGAAATGGCCGTTCATAAGTCATCATATCTCTGTATTTACCAATGTAGCTTGTAGAGTAACAATATGAATCACACCCGCTACTTGAGTTTATGAATCCTATATGGTCTCCCTTTATTACCGTAGAGAAGTGTGTGCTTTTCCGTACGCGGAAAGTATACGGCTTGTAGTTTGGAAACCCTGAATCCAAGTGTGAAGGTAAAGCAGGTTCAGAATTATTCTGGAATTGGAAAACTTTTTCAAAACCGAATTATCTCCCTCCTTCGAGCATAAAATTAGAAGAAAACGTATTTCTCTACCGAATTCTCAGAAGAATGAATATTTTTGTGCATGTTTTCCACGAAATAAAATTTGACATTTAGGGACATCGAAAATCAACAAGAAAAATACATGCTACTTCAGTAGTCATTTTTACACAGTGTAGTTTTTGAATGTAGCCGGAAGGAAGCTCGTTCGAAAGCCGACATCCTGAGGTAACTGAAATATTTTTGAATTATGTTGCAGGCTTATAAGTTTTACAACCGTACTTAATTAATCCTTTCGAAACGAAAAGGCATTTCGAATATTGGTTGACATTTCATGAGTTAACCCACCCACTGTAGGTCAAGACTGGTAGAACTGGTACAGCGGCCCAAGCCATAATGAGAACTTAGCCACTATGACCTTTAAGCTCGGTCCCGAATAGGCAAAGACGGGTTTCAGAAACTTGAATGAATATTTCCCCGGAATGAATTTGAAGCAAGCAAGGACAGCAGAATTTAATGACACCACAAAATTTCGCGACCGCTTCTCAACTGCTGCCGGTCGTTGCATAACAGAAATAACAAGTGAGAAAGGTACAAAGGTTTGAATTTCGACAGAGAAAATCGATGTAAAACAGCAAGGTCAACGTGTACTGTGCGTAGACTAATCGATAAAATGGTAACTTAAAAATGCAACATGGGAATGAAAATGGGGAACTAGGCATGCCGAGGGATTTCGAAACTCAAAAGGGGCTCGGGTCTACCAGGGCAAGCTGAGGTTGACCACGTGGTCTAACTGTTTACATAGGTCGGGTTTCTCCCGCCGTATATAGGCTGCCTCCAGGTAGCGCAATAACCGAGTAGTTCGTGCTCGAACTAATACTCGAAAAGACGTCTTAGGGTCGACCGAATGGCCACTATCAAGGAGATGTTTTGTAATGGAAGACCGTGGAGTCTTGTTCTCCTGCTTTAGAAGCCATTTGGGCAGGTGCTCAACTGCTCTGGCTGCCAGTTGCCTTTGCGTTCGCCCAATGTACTTGCATCCACATGTACATGCACTATTGAAAGAACTTACAACGCAGCTGAACTCGTCTTCTACAGTTCTACTATGGCTATCGAAGTTCAACGGGCGAAGGATGCCTTGCCATTGCACGCCACGTCAAATTGTGTTTACGAATTTACATGTACTTGTGGATGCAAGTACATTGGGCGAACGCAAAGGCAACTGGCAGCCAGAGCAGTTGAGCACCTGCCCAAATGGCCTCTAAAGCAGGAGAACAAGACTCCACGGTCTTCCATTACAAAACATCTCCTTGATAGTGGCCATTCGGTCGACCCTAAGACGTCTTTTCGAGTATTAGTTCGAGCACGAACTACTCGGTTATTGCGCTACCTGGAGGCAGCCTATATACGGCGGGAGAAACCCGACCTATGTAAACAGTTAGACCACGTGGTCAACCTCAGCTTGCCCTGGTAGACCCGAGCCCCTTTTGAGTTTCGAAATCCCTCGGCATGCCTAGTTCCCCATTTTCATTCCCATGTTGCATTTTTAAGTTACCATTTTATCGATTAGTCTACGCACAGTACACGTTGACCTTGCTGTTTTACATCGATTTTCTCTGTCGAAATTCAAACCTTTGTACCTTTCTCACTTGTTATTTCTGTTATGCAACGACCGGCAGCAGTTGAGAAGCGGTCGCGAAATTTTGTGGTGTCATTAAATTCTGCTGTCCTTGCTTGCTTCAAAGACGGGTTTGTACTCCAGTTTCAAGAATAGGGTATTCTGTACAGGATAATGGGAGGGGAGTGATGGAAGAGAGTTAGCAGCTAGACGAGGGTACCTCCGGCGCCGAGGGAGCGCAGTCCCAAGTGCCGGTGAGGAATGCGTTACAGCGCTCTGCGTGAGAGCAGCTCTGCGCCGGCCTTGAAGATGATTGGGCGAGAACCAGACTGTCAGTTGTGCGCACGTGCAAGAGCAGTGGTTGAGGACGTTGGGGTAACATGGAGCACTGAAGGTAACTCCTGACGTAAAAGAAGCTGAGGAAGGTAGTTCCACGTGCAGCAACCTCATCAAGCAAAGCGAAAGAAGATATAGAGTGCGTGACCGATCTTATGAAATTTTGGCCAAAATTCTTAAACTTGTTTTCGATTAGGAAGTATTACTTAGGTGGGGTTGTAATAGTGATAAGCATGCAGCATTATCCTATAGCATTTCGGACTCATGAGGATGTCGGCTTCTGAATGCACTTCTTTTTACCTCCTGTAGAAACCACACTGTCTTCATATTTAAGGCTCGAAGAAAGTTTATATTTAGTTTTTAAAAAAGTTTCTTATTATGAGATTTTAAAGACCGTGCGATGTCCATACATAAAACATCGTACATCTCCGTTTACTAAACCTTCTCATGAAATTTATCACACAGTCCGGATCCACGGCAAAATTGTATGAGCCCTATATGATAGCTTCTTAAAGGCATACAGAAATGTATGATCTTCCTTACGCGGAAAGCAAGCACCTTGTAAACTGAAATCACTAAACGGTAATGCAATGGCAGATCTGGCAAGAAATTATTCGGGAATTGGAAAACTTGTTTAAAACCTAAGTATGCAACTTCTTCGGGTATAAAATATGAAGACAGTGTGATTTTCTACCGAACGAGTAAAAGAAGGCATATTTATGTGCAAGTTTTCTGTGAAAGATATTTGAATTTGCAAAACCATCGAAAATCAATGCGAAGAATGCATGCTACTTAAGTAGTCATTTTTTAAGATCTTGGTTTCTGCAGAAGGTCAGAAAGGAGTGCATCCAAAAGCCGACATTCCCAAGAGTCCGAAATGCTATAAGATTACGCTGCATGCTAATCAATATTACAGCCACGCCTAAGTGATCCTTCCTAATCGAAAACACATTTCAGAATTTCGGCCAACATTTCATGAGATTGGTCACGCACTGTAGACAGGCGCAAATCATATACGGGGAAGGAGAGTTGTATTCAGGAATATGATAAGTGGTACAAGAGAGGGTGAGTTACACCAAGGGGATAATCCGTCTGGATGGACAGGTGACGCCATATCTGCCAGACAACCGGTGGAGATTTCTGCGCTGGGGGCAACTGCGGGGGAGGGCCGTTGGAAAGTGCCGACTTGGAGCTGGATAAGAATCAGGTTAACGACGAGAACTGCGGGAAGGGGGTCGGTGGTTATGCGGGGGCAGGGCGCTGACTATTTTCAACGACACGCAGTCACTTCATCTCTACCCTGGGTCCGCGTTAAAATTTAATCACAGCCAAACAACTCAGTCCGATTCGTCGGGCGCTAGATAAGTTCTTATGAGAGACAAGGTCTCAGCAGGCACATCGAGTGGGGCCACTGCAGGGCAGCCTATTTTGTAGACGGGAACTAAGTTCGGTAGTTGAAAGCGGTAAAATTTGCGTGTCTATGTGTCCCCCATGCACGTCTTGGATTCGTGCTTATGGAGGAACCTTGGGAGTTAGCGAGCGTAAGACGTACTGTTCGAGTACTCAGATCTAGGAAGCGTTGGGTGCTGCGTGGTGGTGGCTGACGCATCAGGTATGGAACTGGCAGCGTTAGTGGAGTGACGAAGGGTGCACCATGCGTCGGCACAGCTTCGTCCCATTCTCCATGCTTAACGCCTGAATGGCTCCAGTATCTTAAGAAATTGTTTTTCAGTCTGGACTTGAGATTGGCTAAGGCAGATTCTCTTGTAGTTGGGCAACTTTGCGACGCATCCTCGATAGGGCCGTTCGGAAAGCGCCCAGCTGGAGGTTTAATCTCACCAGCGTAACTCTGACTCGGTCGACGAGCAAAAAAGTCATAAAATGTTAGGGCTATGTGTCGTGGGAGGTTAGTGAGGTGTATGCTTGAAGTACAGTAGATGTGCTAACTCAATAAATGTTAGCCGGAATTCTGAAATGCGTTTTCGACTCGAAAAGCTTACTTAAGTAGGGCTGTAATATTAATCGTCGCAAAATCTAATCCCAAAATAATTCGCCCACCTCAGGAGGCGTACTTTCGAATGAGCTTTTACTCTTTCGTTTGCAAAAACTACACTGGAAAAAGTGGCTACTTAAGTGGCACAATTTTTTCATTGATTTTCGATGCCCTTGTAAATTCAAATATTTTTCATAGAAAAAAATGCATAATAACATTAATTTCTACTCATTCAGTGGGATATTACGTGTTCTTCAAACATTATGATTGAAGGAAAGGTATAATTTGGTTTTAAAAAACGTTTCCAATTCCTAAAAAATTCTGAACCTAACTTACCGTTACACTTGCATCCTGGGTTCACAAATTACAAGCTTTATATTTTTCGTAAACGTAAAATCATACATTTCTAATCAACAATAAACGAGAGCATATGGGGTCCATAAAAGTCTGCAGTGGATTTGAGATCTATTTTAAACTAAACAAGAAACATTAGTAAGTGCGCAGACGCGAGGTTTTATGAACGGGCATGTCACGGTCTCAAAAAATCTTATAGTTAAAAACTTTCAAGAACCTATAACACCTTCTTTTAAGCTTGCGATTTGAAGGAGACGAAATTTTCTACCAAATGAGTAAAAGAATAAGTATTTTATGCATGTTTTCTGTGAGATATATTTGAATTTAAAAGGGCACCGAAAATCAATAAGAAAATCACGCTACTTATGTAGTCATTTTTATAGCGCAGGCTTTGCGTGCGACCGAAAAGAATTTTGTAAAAAAAGCCGGCATTCTGAAGTACCTGAAGAATCTTGAAAGGATGCTTCACGGTTAATAATATGTCAACCCTACTTCAGAGTCGAAACGTATTTCAGAATTTCGGTTAACATTTCATGAGTTAGCACATCTACCGTACTTGGAGAAAACATACTAGTATGGCATTCAAAGACAAACGAATCCTAATGTCACAAACGATATTTTCGTCATCCACATTTGACGAGATTTAGAGGATAAGGAAGACGGTTGACGGCCGTGATACCAAGCGAACTAGTAAATTACCCAAACACTGTATCAAAAATTTAATAAGGACAGCAGGCCTGACAGGGAAAAAGTCCTTACTAACATCGGATGATATTGTTTACAAAATTTAGCTTTTTGCACAGATCAGGTGTCCGCCGTTTATAAAGAGAACACGGTTGCTTTATCCTAAATGTCCCCTGATGTTCTTTCGCCTCTCAAACATGCGTAGTAACGTGGCGTTGGCTTTCTGTCATTGTTGAGGTCCTGAAGGTCAATATTTGTGTTATAAATGCTTCAAATATAACTGTATTGCAGTTCTCGAAAGATGACAGTTTCCATGCCTACAACTTTCTGCCCTACTTAACTGATGCGCAGCGCCAGTAGACGTCTTGAAATTTCAAATTAATCCAAATAAAACGTCTCGGCTGAATGCGTGACGTTTAACTGTAAACTATTTTACTCGTCGTTGATCATTGTATGGTCTGATAATCTGCCTTTGATCATTTGTCACATTTAGTTGTGTTGGTTAAGTTGTCTGGTGCCATTACGGTGACCACAACACTTGCGTCCCCTTTCTAGTCAGCATCCCTCACTGTAGGAAATGGTGTAAGACTCGGTAGATCAGAGGCGACTGACATGTCTCCTTATCTATTTGAGTCTCAGGGTTTGTGTCGTTGCACCCACGAACTTTCCCCATCAACCGTCTTCCAGTTGTAAGGGCTGAGACTGGGAACCGGTGCTTTTTGTGTTTAGCAACCTGGAATATCGATTTCTCCTTGCACCTTTAGTTGGTGTCTGTGCGATGGTCTCCAGACTTTTTGTCTGGTTCGCCAAACCCGTTGCCCACGTAAGGCACAGCGATTTTGAGTACGCCGAAGGCAGTAAAGTATGATTTTTCCAGCATAAACCCCTCCCCGTAGCAAGTAGGCAGTAGGTTAGAAACTGCCGAACTTTTCTCCATTTGGAGAAATTTCTCGCCTGCAATGTTGTCACCATTAAAGACTAAAAGTGACACTGGATATCTCTTGCCCCCAACATCTGATGTGTGACCCGTTAGCCTTCCTAGGAGCTGTCTTGTACAACTGTCGACGTGGAAAAGTACGAACTACATGAGATCTCAAAAGCAGAAATAAATTGTGCTCCGTGACCTAGTCCGTTTTATCAGTGTTTGCTGTTAAAGGATGAACACAGTTAGACCATTTTTTGCTGCAGACATATTTTTAGGAATGTCCTTACGTTGACTGTACGATGCTTTCTTAAATGCATTATGTACGAACTTTCCATGTTGAAGACACTGTTATATGGAAATGAGACCTGGACTGTCTACAGGAATCAAGCGCGGAAACTCACTTACTTCTACCTCAGCTGCCTCTAGAGAATCTTAATGCGTAGTTGGTAGGACCGGATCACCGACAACGGGCCGGAATCCTCGGTATACACGCCGTGATGAGGCAACTTCAACTGCGACGGAGCGGCCATCTTGTGAGGATGGACGACCAACGATTACCCAAGCGACTCTTTTACGAGGGTACAGTTACGGATGCGCGTCGATAAAGATGTCCAATATGACAATGAAAGCACACTCGGAGTAACTCTTTCAAAAACCACCAAACCAACCTGGAGACCTGGGAGATCCTCGTTCAGGATCCCCTGGCCTAGAGAATGACCGTGCTTATGGGAAGATCATTCTATGAAACCAATCGGATTTCCGTGGTTAAAGCCAGAAGAATAGCTTATTGGCTTTAACGCCTCCGATTCAAAATGCCAGTACTCCATGCCTTTCAGCATACCTGCGATACCAATGGACAATTAGTCCTCCTCGGACACCTCCGGACTCAATCCAAGAACAGGGCAACAACTTGTCCCATTGCCTCAACAAAAACTCTGTTGTCACACCTGCACCAAGCTCCATGGTGACCACAACGACGACCACCCCCGCGCACTCCTGATGCCCGTTGCCGCCGTCGACCACCGCCATCCCCATCATTCCTGCCACAACCACCGCAACGATGTCGACGAGGAATTCCAAATCTCCCACTCCCGCCACCGATGAGAAAACTTTCGATGCCTCGTTGACCACTGTCCTCATAATCACTGCCCCACCAGGAAAAATACGGAACCGACCCCAACCGGTCTTCATTGCGATCCCACGTTTACCTAACCCATGTGCATGGTCGGTCATTTGCGAATTCGCCGCACCATGCCATACAAACGGATGACCGAGTGTCTGGCACACATTCGACGCATCTGCCTTCACCGTCCGCACAAATTCGCCCACCGCACGAACCTATTCGGCCACATGCGCATCCACGGCAGCAAAATTAATCGCAATATCGACACGCAAGCGCACCTTGCACGTCTGACAACTCTCTCATCTCCAGCATTACCAACTTTCCATCCAACAGCATATCCAACACCAGCAGCAGCATCACCGCAGAAGACTCAACAGCCCACATTGCCACCGCATATGCGCATCGCGCATCGGCCTGGTCGATCATTTGCGAAAAAATCGCACAGAGATAGGCGAACCGGTGCCTGGGGCACCAACATACACTCGTCGCCACTGTCTCATTCGTCCGTATTGCCCTCACATATTCAGTGCTTCGCATTAACCTACTCACAAACACACACGCCTTCATGAATAATGCGCCAAAATCATGCTGTACATGACCTCGTCACCACACACTTCCCCATCGAAACTTAAATCGTAATAAACATCGCACTATACGGACAAGAACTAGGCGGCTCCCACGGTCGTGTGTGCGGCACGCTCAGAAGGGCTGCTTTCAGCACTGTCGTGCTACTGCGCCCAATCATAGCAACAATTAGTTGACGAGCTAGGACAATCGGCTGGTGCACAGGGAAGGGAAGAGCCGAGTGAGGTTGACGGTCTCAACTTTTATTCCTCATTATAACCAATCTGTCAGGCTTGAATCTGTCGCGGTACGCCAAAAGGCGTAGTTTGGCACACTGCCATCTGAATGCATAACTTGGATCTCCCTCAGAGGACACAGAGTCAGGCTGCAGTAGTTCCTTCCTAGTGTGGCCTTTATGATATCTCCGCTCAGTTGGGATTCGAGTTGGCCTTTAACCCTTCTTGTGAGAAACCCCGGTCAGTTGTACTGAATGGACGAGACTGTGGGATGACACGCCTAGGTGCAGTTTTTCGCCGCGCCAGCCAACTGTGCACGATCCAGCACCCCATTATTCCTTGCTCCGTCTTGACCCCGGGCCCAAGTAGATATGGGGGAAGAATGTGGTTGGTGCAACGCAGATCAACCATCACTGTAAATTAATTCACTCGCAAATCACCATTTCTGCGCTCAACTTGCTGTGGGGCGCGCGGTGGACAAAATCCGAATCGACGGCCGAACTGTCATAAAATTCCTAATTGCATATTTCCTATAGGACCAGAAGATGATTTCGATAACTGTTTTCTTCACGTCGGATTGTTCGGACGTTTGTTTTGTGAAATTTAAACAGAAACAGTTAATTCCATTCGAAGGCTTGTTATGGCTTCTTGAAAGTTAGCAAAATTGCCTCATAGGTATAAAGGTAGTACAGGTATCTTTGCTTACATCAGAATTTATGTCCTAAGACTTTCTCGTTATGAAGAATACCGCAGTGACATCGCCGCCGGCTTCCAGCCATCGACGATCCAGTCCCAAAGCACAAAACTTGTGGGCGAATACCACCCGTTTCAGAGTGATCTATTTTTCGGTTAAATGGACAAGTGTTTATCAAGAACCTAAGGACGTTTTCGAAATTAGGAATGTAATATCGGACCTTAACATATTGGTGCGCATTTCAGACTAATAATTTTTTCCAAATTACCGACATGCTTGACGGTGCAGATGAGTGGCTATTGGGTTTGCTGCAAAAGTATCTGAAAGAGATGAACCAACTGATCCTGTCAGCATAGTTTTTGATGTCAGTTTCCTTAGCTTTTCTCCTCTAAGCAAAATTTATCAGGACAAAGAGCCCATCAGAAAATTTAATTGTGGGCATCCAGTCATTGCCCGGGCTAGGGAGCTAACATGGCGCCGAAAGGTTGGATAAAGAACGAAACGTAAGCCGACTGCACAAGCAGAAACACATTCATCATCTTTCCCCGATGTCTGATGTTTCGTCTGTTTTGATTGCACAACGTGTGGCAACAACCGATAAACAAAAGTTTCGCCCTCCGTGCTCAGGCCACGCGCTGGTCCACAGTCTTTGCGCTCTGTTTGCGCCATTTACCGTCTCAGACGTGTTTGAGCAGGCAATTATTTGTGTATGTGCAGACTGCATGCCCACTACTGTAGGGTCGATTTAGCAAAGAGCATGCTGCTGAAGGCGTGTAAACAGGGGTTGGCTAGCTGTTTGTAACTGGTAGGGGGCGCTCACCGATCGTTCATACGGAACTCACTCGTTCCGTTGTGCCTTAAGGGCTCTCTCTCGAGCCCAACCAGCAGCCGCACAGCGGCGCATGATATATAGGCAGAATGGTATTACCGACAAAGACAAGGGAGACTGGAATGACCATTTCTGGCTTATTTGCCGTCATCAGCCAGCCATACTCAAGCCCGAAATGGCATATTCGTCAACGAAAGTGTTGCCATTTAAGGTTCGTACTGAATGGTTTACTAGTTACGCAGAGCACAGGTGCACGCTAAAGGCTCACGCACATGTGCCACTGCACGACAGAACTCATCAGTGTGTCTCCCAGCGTTCCTCTTGCGCTTTCTGGTATATACTTCAAGTTTTCACAATTGGTCTTTCAGTTTCCCCGAGAAGCACACAAGGAATGCGAGGAGGCCCAATGAACCCCTCAAAGGTGCGTTTTACAGTGGCACTAAATAGACGAAATATGTGTCTGGGCTTTTAGTTAGTACCTGTACTCTAAGTATGTGTATGCTGCCGATATGCGTACACAACTGACCGGCTGTTGGAAGCTTGCAGGTAGTCCGCAGTTATTCTGCAGTACCTGCTGGATTTCAGTTCATATATCTGCATTACCTTTGGGAACAAATCCAGGAAGGTTCTCCTCTGAAGGTTTTACTCCACGATCGCGCATTAATTACTGAGGTATCTAAAAATGACCGTTTTTAAGACCCATTGCGGCTTCTTTTGTCTGAAACAGGGTTTTCTTACGATCAAACCCATTTATTCAACCTGCCCAGTTCCCTTCATACAAACGACAGACGTAAATATTGAGACATCACCTCGCGCACAGTTTGTAACCGTACTTCTTCATGTCCGCCAGCTTCATTAAGCCAAATATAGTACTCTAATTCAAAAAACTCTCGGGGAGACGCAGTTTATTTTATTTTGTTTAGCCTTCCAATCCAGTGAATCAAAGTTAAGACTACACGCTGCAAACACGACGGGTGGTGTTCAAGCAAATTCTAATCCAGCGTACAACTTTCATGCCGTGTTCTGTCATCATGGGAACATTAGGGGCTTTGGTGACAAATTTGGAAAAGTTACATGATATTTTATAATTGATAAGTTGGACCCCTCGCAGCTGTGTCATGCTGCGATGCACTATCGGTGGGACCTTGGGCTAGGCATTCAGCTAGTAGTTCTCCCGTCAGGAACACTATATTATGCAACCTATATATATACTACTGGTTCCCTGTCGGCAGTTTATGAATACAAAGCGGTTATTCGGCTTTAGTCGATGGACTTCGGCCCAAATGTTCATATCAAATTTCAGTCTGAGCCCATAGGTCTCAAACAGACTGCTCTATCACAGGTTGCAGATTTAGTCCCGTGAACATTACAGAACTGCAATTTAACGAAGTGCAGACACTGGGATTGATGAGGTAGTCGTCAAAGCCATCAGGTTCAGCCGACCAAAATTTTGGCCATATAAAAGTGAGGGATCCCCAAACTTTAAAAATTTAACGACTGTGGACTTTGGACGTATCAGGTGATACAGATTGCCTAAACCGGGAACTCAGATCCGGCTCGGAGACATCATGCGTTGATGACGTACATAGTGATCGATGCACGCCAATAGACACTTTATAAATGTATTCTCAGGACAGCAGACTCGTTTGTTCGCGACAAGCACCTTATTCTGCTGATGCTGGGGATTCCGCTTCAGTCGTTCCTTGTTGTCTCCGCTGATTTCTATCACTGGTGTTGGGTTCGAGTTGGAATTCGAAAATTCGGACGAAGGAGTTTCTGGTTCCAGCGATTCTTATCGTTACTGGTGGTGATTTGGTTGGATCTTATTTCGTAGCCGCACCTGCAGTAGATAAGCCCCAGCCGCTCGTCCTACGAGATCGTCCCTAACCTTAACCCCTAACCCATAACACTAATCTCTGACCCCTAACCCCCAGTCCCTAACCCTTAGCAGGTGCGGATACGAAATAGGATATTACCGGTGATTTCAGCTGATTTGATATCACTGAATCAGAAATTATACAGTAAAATGTATATTTTCTATCTCAAAGTTCGCAGTATCCAGATAAATCTTCTGGGGGTGGGGGGGGGGATAAAGAGGCGGACACCTTTATAAGATGGCACCATTTGTAAGCTGATAGAATAAACGACACCTATTGATTCAGTTGATATAAGAAATTGGACACAGCGGCTGATAGTGATAAAGCAGCCGGTCACTGCTTGCCACTCACGACTCTGTCCCCGCAAGGCACACTTTCCAAATGGGGGTAGGGCTGGAAATCTTCTTGGGGATGCACTGTATTGAAGCCGCCGGACTACCCGCACTGCCTTCGAAGTCGTGAGTTTGACTATCCCCGCCAATGACCAGAGTGTCCTTTGACCAGGTAGCTCCATAGATCGCCTGGGCCAACGGACTGGAAGTCGTACCCACGCCTGTTCCGCTAATGGCATCTGTGGGTGAGTCGCTCATGCCCGTTGACCGTTTTTGTTGTTGCCGTCTTTGTCGTCGTCGCGGCGGCGGCGGCGGCGGCGGCGGCGGCGGCGGCGGCGGCGGCGGCGGCGGCGGCGGCGGCGGCGGCGGCGGCGGCGGCGGCGGAGACAGCGATACTTGACGCGCCCGACTACTTTTTTTTTCTGTTTGCTTCAACTAATGGTGCAAAGCCCCATAGGCCACAGGCAGATCGATGCCATTGTTGTTGATGATATCTAAGCGGTAAGTTAACAATCACGTCTTTTGCAGCCATCCTGCATGTAAGCCTCATCCCAGGACACCGCACCTACTGCCTTGGAGGCAACGTTCAGCCCTCATCATGCTGTATTGGATATCACCTGTGACTTGGAGTTCATTCTGCTTACCCACGACAGTAAACGTAGATCATTTTCGTCTTATGAGTTGTCTTATCTACAACTGCGCTGAAGTCAATGGAGAATGAAATTTTGGATTCAGAGCCTGTGTGTGTGTGTGTTTGGGAACAAACCTATGGTATACTTTCATACCCATTAAGATGAGGGAACTATGTACGTCCTTCTTGTCTGATGGTACACAGAGTTTAATCCCCTTTAATCTGTAAAGCAAACACATGCAATCCCGTTTCTCCTGCATAGTGTGGCTGCTATGTTGACATATCATCTGAAGCGTAACGGTTTGGTTCCTTTACACCCTGGTTTTATCTGGGGGTGATAATGGCAGCACAGAAGGGTGTCTCAGAAGGGAAGTCGATTCTCACCTCCCACCTTCATCCAAAATTTGCAGACTAAAGGAGTTCGCTTACTTTTTGTAGAACTCAAGCATGTCCTGGTTGATGGCGACGAAGGAGTCTTTGATGGGACGCGCCGAAGATGTGAGTTTTTCAGTTTCACACGCCCATAAATTGGGATTTTTGGCTTACTTAACAATCAGTCGAGGTTTCGGTGGATCTTTCCATGAATCCCTTATTTTTAGAGGGTCATTGCAAAAGTTAGAATGGTCTCCAGGCAGTTCTTTGGGGTTAATGTATTCCGGTCGGTCGTTGTTCCCAGTATAGTTGTCATGCATTCATCCCGTACTCGCTCCAAGTGCATGTGAATGGGGTGTTAATCTGCGTAGTAAAGTGTGATCAAACATGAATACCTTCTCCCAACTTCAACTGCAAGTCCAGAATTCCTCGACTGGTTGGACCATTGTTTATAAGCCCGCAGTAAGACAATTTTTCTTCTAACCAAATCAGGCCCATACATTTTATGAGGTAAACAATGAAGAACCAAATAAAAATATGAAATGTGATTTCGCTTGAAAAGGATTACATAAGTGTGACTGTAATATTGACTATCACACAGCATAATCTCAAAAATATTTTATTTGCGCCAAGATTCTGACTTCTGGGTAAGAAATAACCACCTAATCAGCATAATTGTTTCCACAAATTTTTGATGCACGTACAAATCCAAATATGGTAGAGGGACGTTCACCGATCGGTTGTGCCTTAGGGCTCTCTCTCGAGTCCAACCAGCGGCCGCACGGCACTCATGATACAGGCAGAATGTTATTACCGGCAAAGACAAGAAAGACTGGAATGGCCATTTCTGGCTGATTAGCCGACGTCATCCTGTCATATGTGCTAAGACATTCTGCCTATATCATGCACCATTGTGCGGCTCAGGGGTTGGAGCGTTGGACTTCTTGCCAACTAGTCCCATGTTTCGAGCTTCAGGTGTTCCACACCTCGTGGAAGGGGATGACTGACTGACGACGGCTAATAAGCCAGAAATGGCAACTCCAATCTCCCTTGTCTTTGTCAGTAATGTTATTCTACATAATCTGCTTCCTAAAAGAACGAAACCGACTAATTCTTTTTTCATTTCTTCAGAAAAATGCGCATACAAATAAAAGGAATACAAACTACATAGATACCATTTACCAAAGCCAATAATACAGAGGTTCAACCTGAAATCTGATATGTGACAATTTCCCGAAGTCACCTAAATGCCATTTTACATCTTTATGGGCTCCGACGGTCTGCTGGTGAGTTATATCAAACGATTTAATTGTCCTCGCTCCCTTTTTAAAATTTTACGCCAAAGCTAGACATGCCGTAAAATTGTGATGGCCTGATGAAACATAATCACAAAATAACATGTAATCTTAATAATTCAGTGGGTCATACATCGCTCTGCGGCTCGAGCGAGAGCTCGTAAGGCACAACGGGACGAGTGAGTTCCCAAAAAGGATCCGTGGACGCCCGTCTACCATTGAACATTCCCGATCGCAACCGACAGCACAAAAGACCCGGGGCTCAGTGGTTAGAGGCAGTGCACCTCCAACCGACAGGTCGCGGGATCGAGCCCCGGCGGTCGGATATAGATGGCTGAAAACGACTAATAGGCCAGAAATGGCCACATCCCTCTTCCCTGTCATTTGCGGTAATGCTGTTCTGCCTAGATCCAAAAGTATTCCACAGACGTTCAAATAAGGGCATCTTCCGATTTTAAAAGTGTTTCAATTCCTTACTGATTTTGAATTTTAACTGCCACTGCTCTCTATTTTAGAGTTTCCAAACAAGGAGTTGCAAACCATCCATTGAAGAAAGCCATGCATTATTTGATGTTATTGAGAAGGCTTCTTGTAGGGCTCATGGCAATTCTCAAAGGATATGAACTGGGCTGTACACTTCGTAAGGAGCATTAATAAATCGACGGATGGGATGCAGGTTGGCCAATCATATAATACTCCTCAAACTCTCGGGAGTACAAATGTAATTAAACTGATAGATATGCTTTCAATGTAGAAAAATGGAGACAGAGGCAATTTACTTCAAAATTAACAGAGAAGTGATGACTTTTACATTTTGCATAAGATGTGTTTATACTCAGAAGAACATCGGAAGTGAATGAGGGCTGCCAGATAGACGGTCATTGGAAATGTAGCAACCTCGCATGGCCGAAATAACTTGGGATTATGTTGAATGATAACCAATAGTACAACCGCACTTAAGTAATCCTTTCTAGCCGAAATCACATCTCAGGATTTCAGTCGGTGTTTAATGACTCACACCACCTGCTATGAGTAGGCCTTCGTGATGAAAAAAGATCCAGCGGGGGATGGTAGGACAGGCCCGTTTTTACGGAGGTCTCATAAGCGTTCTTTATCTTTTTCATTGGACACTGTCCTATACCAATCTTTGGCAAAGATGGCTACAATTCCATTTATCCCGACCAGAGCCCTCATTAACTTCGCGGCCAGCAGTTCTGTAGAGTCGAAAGCACCAATGTTGACTGGCTGTCGGTTTTTGATGTGTAAACGCTACTTTTCAGTTCTGATCTCTGTCGCATTCAGTGGTTGGCCAAGTCTCTTAATCAGGTAGGGTCGGAATTTAGCTCTTTAATATCATTTTCGTTCTCAGGTGGGGTGGGCTAACGCGAGCGGGGGGGGTGGGGGGTTGTTTGACTCTTTATGGTCCATTTGGTACAACAGTGATTTCAAAGATGTACTGCAGTTAAGTGGATCAGCACCGGTTCCGCAAAGGGCGGATTTACTGTTCGTAGTATACTTTGATGGGATGTTTTTCACGGTTTCTGGGTTTGAGTAGTTTCTAGTTTCCGAAACTGTGCTTTTGTCTGCCTGTTTCTTTGGCGTTAAGACTGATAGGTTGTTCACGGGTGAGGTAGCAGCCGCTCCGATGGAAGTGTTCACGACAAGTCCTTTAAGTTGATTTACGCTGCCATGTATCACTGTAAATGGTGATGACAGACTGGAGAGAACACCTGTGTACTTCCTCTTGCGAATTTCGTATTCCCTAAGGCCTTGATGAATACGCACCTTGCCAACATATTCTACTCGTTCTGCTCGGGGAGAATTTCCTCCCAAGAATAGGCTACGAAAAGTGCTTCGCGGCTATAATATAGTGAATTTTGCAAATCATGAAATGTGCCAAAATTTAAACGACATTGCTGATCGCACGCAAGCAGGCACAAGTATATACACCAAAACTCATAATTTACAATGAACGAAATTTAGTGAGTTGAAAACATAAAAGAGAATATTTTGCTCATTTTTATGTTTTTTAGAAATAGCAGTGTTTCAAAAAAATGAAAATTTCAAAAAAGCCAATAACTTCGTAACTGGACAAAAACAGTTCCCGGGTATACAATGAACCCGCCCACTCAAAAAATTAAGCATACATTAAAACACAGTAAAAATAAGGTTCGGAAATAGTCCTTTAGTGACGTTTGCACTTAAGTATCCTGTGGGAATTAGTAAAATTTTACGTATGGTATTTGGCCAACAGCCTACAACCTGAGCTTAGATTCGAAAACGGTTTTAAAAGGATTTACATCAATCTTCCTGCTTTTGCATTGTTCGAGAGGCCATCGTTTAAGAAAAAAAGGAATTCGCCCGATTTCTCCGATATAGTTGTCACAAGAACACGTTTTACCAGGTCACACGTTTATAGGTCGGTTAGTGTCCTATAAATTTGAATAGAATCGGCAAATGAGATCTAAAACGTACCATTTAATGCATATGAGGAAGACTTTTTTCCGTGAAAGTTATTAACGATTACTTATTTTGCGGGTCGTCCTTAAAATAATAATGGATTTTTTTTTATGATTTTCAGTATCTATGTTTGATTGCTCACAAACGTAGATCCTAATCTTTGCTTGGCAAAATCTTAAAAATTAGATACTTCTTGCAAGCATTTACCAAAGTTGTAAATGCGTGGGCATTCTTACCGGTGGAGTTGGCTGTCTGAGCCTTATTTGTGACCTTATCTAGTAACCTTGTATGCGGACGCCGCACGCACGGCCTGGCCCCCAATCACAAGCACCAGGATTTCACACAACGCGGGTTTGACGACATACATCTCGAATGCATGAGAGTGCCAGAGGTCGCTGTAAGGGAGAGCTGTGACAGCCTGGCTCTCAGCCCCCCAGTTCACCAATCCACACTGCGTGGATCGAGTTGAGGCGTCAGTCAGCAGCCTTCCAAGCCACGGCGCTTGGCGCAACGCGGTAGTCTCAGACTCGGATCACACAGGCATCAGGGGAACCGCATGGAGAAGGAGTAGAGAAGCACACTTCCCACTTTCATGGGAGATGGCAATTGGGTGAATGTGGTTGGTGGTGTTGTGTGGTGCTGGTGCTTGGGGGATGTGCTGGTGAGGCCTGGCTGACGGTAGTCTACCGCAGGTTTTTTTGAGTGCGCAAGTGACCAAGTAGGTTCATGCGGTGAGTGAATGTGCAGGGGCAGTGTGGACAGTGGAGGCGAATGCGGCGAGTATAAGTTGGTGCTGCAAACGCTAATTGGCTAGTCACTGTGCAATGGATCCGCAAGTGACCGACCAGGCTGATGGGTGAGGCGAATATGCGATCGCAATTAATACAGGTATAGACCGAGTCCACATCGCTGGTATTGACGGTGGTGAGGTTGATGTTTCTCGGTGTGTCAAGATTGTGTACAGTGGTGGTGGGTACAGGAGACGCTGTAGTAGATGGTGAGGCGATGAAGGATAGCTGTGAGGTCTAAGGAATGCGATCAGCATTGGTTGTCGGCGTGGGGGGCGAGGCAGAGGTGGACGGGGGAACACGGGTGGTGCCGTCTGAGTGCTTCATTTGGTTCGAAGATGTCCGATAAGACCACTTGGTGCCCGGAACGTCCTTCGGCATCGTGGACAGATCGGGGAGGTTGAGCGTTGGCGTTTCGAGGTAGGGGCAGCTGAGATTTACGAGCTTTGCGTTTCACTTTGGCGGCGTAGAGGCGATTGGCTTCTTAGATTGCTACGCCTGTCTTCGCTGCTCTCCTCCACGTCGGTCAGTCCCGGGCGAGGTCTTCCTAACTGACAAGATTGGTCTGCAGGCGCATCAAGGAAGCCTCCAGAACGTCCTTGTAGCGCCGGGCTTGACCTCCTTATCGACGTGAACCCGTGGCGATATCTCCATAGAAGAGTCATTTGGGTAGACTCTTGGTGTCTATTCGAACTATGAGGCCTTTTCAGAGCAGCTGCAATGGTCTCAGCAAGGCGTAGATACTAAGGATGCCCATCGGCTTCAGTCCGGGATGCAGTCCTGCCACCTCAGCTTCAGTATTCGGCGAAGACAGCTGAGGTGGAAGTGGTTGAGTCTGCGTGCCTCTTTCTTGTAGACCGTCCAGGTCTCAGCCCCGTACAGCAGCGTCGGCAGGATGACTGCCTTGTACATCTTCAGCTTCGTGTTGAGATGGAGACCGTGACGGTTGCAGACGCGGTTTTGCAGACGTCCAAAGACTTAGCTGGCTTTGGAAATCTAGGGGCCACGGGGAGGGTGCCGCCCAAATAGGCAAATTTGTCTACGACTTGCAGTTGGACGTCGTTCGCGTTGATTTGGGGTGCATTGTAGGTAGCGTCGAGTGGCGGTCGATGCATAACCATCTTCTTCTCCGTGTTGATGACCAAGGCGATGTTGTCGCAGAAGGCGGTGAGGAGATCCATGCTCCTTTGTATGTCCCCTCCGGAGGTGTTGTTGAGAGCGCAGTCGTCGGCGAAGGGAAGTTCATGGACAGTGTATGGGCATACCCGTGACTGTAAGTGCTTCTGCCGGTGGTTGAGGAGGTGGCCGTCCACCCAGTAGACGTCGAGAAAATTGGGGCGTTCGTCACGGTAGGCGTCCAACAAAATGACAAATGACTTGAGATTGAAGAGGGTGGGAGCGACTACGCAGCCTTGCATCACTCCGTTGGTTACTGTGAAGGCCTTTGATAGGACTCCATTTTCCTTGACGCTTTCCGTCATGCCATCGTGAAGCTGACGTACCATCTGGGTGACTGGTTCGGGACAGACGAGTTTCCGTCTGACCTTCCACAGTCCTTTGCGATTCACCGTGCCGGAGGTTTCCGTCGAATCCACGAAGATAGAGTGGAGATGGATCCGCATCTCTCAGCACATCTCCAGCAGTTAACGGGCGGCGAAGAGCAAGTACTGATGTCACTGAGCGGTGCATGCATTTAATGGCATAAGAACCTTTACTGAAATATGCCAAGTAGCATGTATATAAACACCTAATTAGGGCGCAGTGGATGGCACGCCGTTTTGGTGTAATAGTAATTCATGAAGGATTCTTGAATTATACACTCTCTAAAGGACTATTTCCGAACGTCACACCTTTCTGGTGCTGTTTCATTGATTCCGTTATTTTTGCTGATAGGTTCTTCGCATTTCTAAAAGTTAAGCTTGATCATTTGGTAAGATTATTAGTTTTTTCGACATTTCTGCATTCCGTAAATATCATTTATCCGTACAACGTCATATTACTTTTGCTGTTCCTGTATTTCATTATGAATTGAATCCTGGCCGATAAATTTGGGCCGGCCTCCGCATAATTGGATATAGTTCGAGACTTAAGACATATTCCACGTTAGGTCACTTACTGCACTTAGTGGAGCCCCCCAACCATGAGGGGTGAAGGGGAGTCTGGATGCTCACCTGTTAAATGTCCGACATAATCCCCCTAACCACCTTTACTACTCTAGACATAACATTAATTTGGTCTTAAAAACACTTGTTATTTACATGAATCCTGACATTGCCGAATACTCTGCGTTCAAATGCTATAAATGTATAGTTCTCTCTCATTCCGCAAATTCTCCATCTTTTTAGCACACCTGCTTCACATTCTGCCTTATACAGTTAGCATGCTGAAAACAACCTGTAAAAATTTGTAACTTAATTACTTTATGCGTAATCTTGTACAGAAAAAGTGGAGTTCTCAATAGCTTCTGTCGTTTATACCAAGTGCGTTGACTGACTGATTTCGACCTGCCATGAATTCCCCCACTATGACAGAAGTGACACGAACTAATCCCCAAGCGCGCTTTCCGCTAAGGACTGGACATACGATAGGGGACTGGTTCAGACGTGTTTCACTTGGTTACATTCATGATTTCGCGATAAAGCACGCACTTAGAGAAGTACCCCATGAACCATAACCCCAAGTCACTTTTCACCGGCGAAAAATCCGGGGTAGAGACACAGAAGGGGAAATTCACATTTCAATGCAAGGTTGGCAGGAGACGTTACCGGTTCAGCAAGCCCGCCTGTACATGACACCGCTCTCGATAAGCCTCTGGCCTAAAGCGCAGGCGCTGTTCCAGACAGCTAGAGGGCAGGACGAACGCATTGCATCATTTTCGCGAGATATTTCGAACTCACAGCAGCTTCAAACGATAAGCCGACCACTTCGGAGAGATTTCTATTAAGCGAAGGTCACCCAGAAGGGTGGGTAAGGACTCTGCTCCATGTATAAACCCCGGCTTACTGACAAATGAATACTTTAGTAGGATCTTCGAAGTGGCACCATTGTAGTGGTGCTCCACAGCTGTTGACGTAACTAAATTTGATTATTTGGATGACATGAAATTCGTGGCAGTTTCCGTGGAAGGACCAACCCACATCCCCCTTATGGATAATATCAGTGTCATATTTGGCTCCAGCGAAGACTGTGCTCTTTCCCGACCCAAAGTGCGGCTTCGCAACACCTCAGACAATGCATCCGCCTACATTTCCGTCAGCTTGGCTCGGACTTACACCGATACTTTCTGAAAACGCGAGAAGAGGACGAGACGGATTGTGTACGCACTGCCCTCGGTAGAAACATCTGGCACACTTCTCAACTACCATGAGACACTGGCGAAATAACTCGATTCCCCAATGACTTCTTCCCACTGTGGCCCACATCTAAACGCACCTCGGCCAAGAGATCAAAAAGCCAAAGTCGGGTCCGCGTGTATCAACATTCAAACACACGCAGCCATGTTGGCCTCGTCTTGTCAAACAGAAAACCACCGGGGTGGATGCAGCGCAGGCCTTCAGTCAACTCCCACGAAAGACACCATTTCCTTCTCGAACCGAAATGATCTTCGCATGCCCCTACAAACGAACCGCCGATTACTTTAAGAGTCATGCGACCCGTAATAAAAAAGACACAGCACACACACTCGGCGCAAAGAAAGTCTGTATGAAATGAAGAGGATAAGCGGTTATTACTGAAAGACGACTGGGAGGTGGGCCACACAGTGAGACAGCTGAGTTTTAACATTTAGGAGTTTAAAAGAATAGCCAAATGTGTCGCACGCCAAATGTAGGACTCTTCAGAGTGTGAGGGAAAGGGATGTAACGGTGAGTAGGCAAAAGGTCACTGGGCTGGTGCAGCCTTTGAAGATGGGCGGGGCTCTGAAGAATCATAAACCTGCAGCGATTCCAGCTGGCGGATTAATTCAGCATCAGATGGCTCCGCCGAGGAGGGAGCCTTAGTCTTGGGTTCAGTCCTGTCCGCCAGAAGTTCACTTAACTCCTTCTCCCAGTCTGTATCACCTTCGGTCTCTCTGTACATAGAACCAAGGGCTTTGGATATCTGAAATTTAGGTAACAAGACAAGTTAGTTTCCCACTAGGTGTACAGACGGCGGTCTACCAAAATATGCATGCGAAGTGACTATGTTTTACTTAAATAGTCCACGATGGGCAAGGGCTTAGAGGATGACCTACCGCCTCGTTATCTTCCACCATCTCAGCAAGGTCATCCATTGTACGTTCGGCTTCTTCAACACCCTCTGCACCACGGGTGGCGACCTTCAGGGCCTCTCCAGCAGTCGACAGGGCATTAATGACGGTCCTGTTGTCTTTGGCTGCACCAAGTTGGAGCTCTAGAGCCTCCAAATTGGCCAGCTGTTGCAGCCTCTCGTTCCTTGCTTTCTCCAGTTGCTTTTTGCGCTTCAGAAGACCCAGTGCTTCTTTGCGTCTACAGAGGCATAACAGGTAGGAATAGCTGTAACGGACTGGGTCACTATCAGACATAAAGTACCAGCAAAAGGGACAACCTTTGCGGACTCCAAGAAAATCGATACGATGGCACGTCTAACGCAGGGGAGGGGAGAGAAATCAAACAGACTTTCGAACGACTACTGACTAACCACACCTGACGGTATCATTGTTGTAGGGGGGTCGCGGGGGTATTTTGCACTGCGTTTCAACTGATTTAGTTCTTGTAACAACATGTGTAATCTATATACACCGCGGGCCGTACAAACTGACCCTAAGGGAGGTCACATCTGTGAGGCAGAATTCGGTGGTGGCATGAAGCAGAATTAGAGTAGATCAAAACACGGGTTGCAAGTTACCTCTTAGCAAGTAATAATTTCTTGATTTCTGCTAGCAGAGATTCGATGGCTTTGGCCAACTTCTGTTCTTCCGAAGAGATTTTGCGGGCGGAAAGCCGTAGTCGTGCAACCGAAAAGAGAACGCTGGAGTCTGCCGCTTGATTTCTGCCTGAGGAAGATTCCAAGGACTTCGAAAGGAAGACAAGCTGAAGGCGGGAAAAGTTGGTAAGAATTAGATGCGATTTGTCTTGGAAATCCAATTAAAGCAGAGTCGCTCGGATTAAAGTGGATTTGCTTCGCAAGCAAGGGACAAAAAAATACAGAGTGATGGGTATAGCAGGTAGATGAGTGTGTTATTATATATGGTTATTTATGGAACGGCGGTTCACCTGCGTCCTCTAGAAAACGCTTCTTGGCTGTATGGCCTACCTATTTTCTACAGCTCGCTTGAATAAAACACCAAATTATCGAAATCATAAGGCCCTGATAACTGACTCAAAAACTGTCGTGCGTAAAACTTTAAAACCCTTTACAAAGAGTGTTATGCGACCGTTTTCGTGAACAGCCGCGATTTTAGCCTGCGTGCTGCTAATTAGCGCCTCGACACTCCCCGAGAACAGTACTACGGTGCGTGACCGATCTCACGAAATGTTGGCCAAAATTCTGGAATGCGTTTCCGATTAGGAAGGATTACTTACGCGGGGTTGTTATGCTGATTATCATGCAGCATAACCCTTTAACACTTCGGACTCGCCAGGATGTCGGCTTTTGAATGCACCTCTTTTTGACCTCCTGCAGAAACCACACTCTGTAAAAAATGGCTATTTAAGTGGCATGCATTTTTCCTATTAATTTTTGATTGTCATATACAAATATATATACAAATATATGCCTTCTTCTGCTCAGTTGGTATGGAATCACACTGCCTTCATATTTTATGCCCGTAGAAAGCGTGTATTCAGGTTTTAAAAAGTCTCCAAAGTCCCGAATAATTTTAAGTCTGATCTGCCATTGCATCAGCGTTTAGCAATTTCAGTCTACAAGGTGCATGCTTTCCGCGTAAAGAAAATCATATATTCCTCTATGCCTTTAAGGAGATTTCACATAGAGTTCATGAAATTTTGCAATGGATCTAGATTGTGTTGTACATTTAATGGGGAGCACTAGTAAACGGAGATGTGTGGCCTTGCATGCATGGACATCGCATGGTCTTAAAAATCTCATAATTAAAAACTTTTTTAAAACCTAAATACACACTTTTTCGGGCATAAAATATGATAACAGTGTGATTTCCTATCAAATGAGCAAACGAAAGCATATTTTGTGTACGTTTTCTGTACAATATATTTGAATTTATAAGAGCACCGAAAATAAATAGGGAAAATGCATGCTACTCAAGTAGTCATTTTTTACCGAGTGTGGTTTCTGCAGGAATTCAAAAAGAAATGCATTCAAAAGCCGATATCCTGGCGAGTCCGAAATGTTATAGGGTTATGCTGCATGATGATCAGTACAACAACCCCGCTTAAGTAATCCGTTCTAATGGGAAACGCATTCCAGAATTTTGACCAACATTTCATGAGATCGATCACGCACTGTCTGTACTTACCGCCGTGCGGCGGCCTACTGGATTCAGAATCAAGCCCCAAAAGGGCGGGAGGAGAAGGTCTCTTAACGCGTTCGGTGAGAGCCTCTCAACCATAGTTATTTGCTCGATCGTGTCTAAATGAATAGAGCGTCGGACTCCTAACCGACAAAACAGGGGTTCGGGCCTCACGGGGGTACAAAGTCTTAAGTTAAGTATGCCCAGCTGATGACGGCTAATAAATAAGGAATGGCGATTCCAGTCTCCCTTGCCTTCATCGGGAATTTCTTTTTGTCTATACTACTAGTCGCTGGGCGGATGCCTGTGGGGCCCTAGATTGAGCCCCAGGGTGCAAAGATAAGTGTATACCCTGTAAAGTGATCAATAAGCCTCTCCGTTTTTTACCATAGTACTCATAGAAGCTCTCTCCGCACGAATGAAACTACATGTGAACAGATGATGCTGTTGTTTTCATTGATGGATTCTGTGAATTGAAGTTCCATGAGTTAAGCAGCTAGCGATTCATGCGGTTGTCATCCCTCGTCGAACAGGAAGGTGTAGCCGAATCCCGTCTACAGAGCCAGCGCTTGAGGGTTGGCGCCATGCCTTCTTACTACGGATGTACTTTCGGTCATCCGTGACCGAAGCAAGCTCCCTTTTTCCCTCACTTAGTTGATTTGACCGCAACTGCACCAAATCCGGTAAACGACTTCAGGCACTGTCGGTGTCACCGGGTGACATCGGATGATTGCCTGTGGTTCACTTGCAACCTCCCTCCTCCCCTCCCTCCAATGTGAGTGATGTGGGAAGACGGTCGGTGGCTTCAATGATCCCGGAATAAGGAAGCGCTCGCCAGAACTTGAATTGCGTGCATTCTGGTCCTTCACTTCATCTCTGTGCGCACTTACTGTTGGAGGTGTGCGGATAGCCATTCATCCTGAGTGTACTTTGCAGATGTTGCATCTTACCTACTTTGTCTTCGTTTCACTGCTGTGCATTTCAATATGTCGACAGAGCGTCCTAACACAAACGCGTTCGTAAGTGATTTACGCCTCGAAACCTACATGGTTTGCTGTTTTCCCGATGTCCGTGGTGTTTAGACGATCATAATCCTTACGAGGTAAAGATACTACGGAAAGCCAGTCGGTTGCCCATAACCTCGGTCTTTATTTTTGAAAACCAGCCATTCCACTGTTCGCAGCAATGATTCCGCAGGTCGGATAACCCATCAACATGCCACTTATTCGTTTGCAAATATTTCTGTCAAACATAGAGCAAATCTTTGAGACAGGAGCAAAAAAGTAGAAGAAATCGGATGCGTCCAAGGCGATTTCCGTTCAATCGCATCTACTTTGCAGAAATAATTCGAATGCCTCGACTACGACTTTTTGTTCACATTTCCAGGATAAAGTCGGTGAATTTATGCGACGACACAAACTGAAATGCAACGGAATTGAAGTTGGCAGTGGCAAACCTACAGTTAACAACATGTGCTCAAGTTTTTGGAAAATACGAACTGCCAGGTAAATCCTTGTACATAAAATTTCAATGAGCGAGCGAAACTGGCTACTGCTTACAATTAAGTAGGGTTGTTTTCTCACTTCCGGTGGGTAGGCCGCACGAGTGAGCCGGTACGACGAAAACTGGCGAGTCTCATAACCACTGAGGAACGTAGTCAATAAAACACTATAAAAGCTTTTTTACACCTTACCAAAATTTAGGTTATACTGTAAGAATGTCAGAAAAAATTTTTACAGAAAGTCGCCTAACTTAAAACTGCTCCCATCCGAATAAGAAACGCGAGCATCCACTAAACAAAGTCAATATGATGTACTAATTGTCGATGCATGAAAAAACGAGTTCCGGCGTGCGGCAGAGAAAACGCGGCAGTTAACGATTCGGCTGTGGGTAATCAAGCAAGTAACGTCCCAAGTGCAACCATCGGCGATGAATGCGGAAGCCCTTCTTTTACAGGTATGCAGTGACATAGCAACTGCATCCCATAAATACTGCAAATATTTCGCAACCACACCCCTATTCGATGCTTCTTCTGATTATATGTTCCAGTGTGAATATGAAACATCATTCAAATAAAACCCTCGTTCTAGCGATTGCGTCTCCTCGCAAAGCCCTAAGTCTCATCTAACCTTTCTAAGTGAGCGGCGTCGTGCGTGTCCAAATTTGGAAGATATCAATAAGCGTTTATAAAGGGTCACGAGTTCAGGCAAAAATACCTTCAGGTCGGATGAGCTCTCAATCCTAATATATCCATCTTTAAGCAGTGATTGCTCAACGAAGCTGCGTGACAATTCATGAGCAAAAAAATTGGACAGGGCCATTTCAAAGTCTTCGTAGATAAATACCAGGTCCTCTGATGATAAAGACTCTAGGTCGGATACGAGGCTACGTCTGAATTCCTCACAAAACTTCTCCAACGGACGGGCGAGTATAAGATCCGCGTCTGGACTCCCATAACGTCTCTCCTCCGAGTAGGCACTTGCCCTAGGGATAGCGTGGATAGCTTCGACACAGAATCGGCAAACTTACTCCGATCCGGACAAGTACGACCATGTCCAAGAGAGAGGCTTTCGAATCGCCATGTCATACATAAGGCCAGCAAACTTTAAAATCAGACCATCCACTTCTGGAAGTTTTAAAGTGCCGTTTTCTAGCTTATAGTTGAGGACTTGATGCAGGCAGTCAGGTGAAAGTACAGCCCCGTCTGGAGGGAATGCGCGCGAGAAAAGTTTCTTCAAGGCACTTTCTGAGACCACAACAATGCGATGGCAGTTGGCGTAGTCCTCGATGAGATTAGACCAAAATGAAATCTTCTGGTCAAAGCCCGTGGGATCTATCTGGCGAGGGCGCTTGATTCTTTGCATGAGACGGTACATTTCATCATCATTCTGCCAGATAGGGGGCAAAACGAAGGGTGTTTGCATCGTTGGGCGGAAATCAAATGTGACTATAAACTCAATAGAGTCGAAGACATGCTTGCAAGATTCAATTCACTGGGTTTGGCCTCCTTCAATTGCTACAATGTGATTTTCTGAAGCTGAGGGACAGGGGAAAATGAAAGAAACAGGGGATTTACGACCAGTGTAAAGATAAGTAAATGAAAATACGAAACAGCCCGGACTGTTAACGCACTGGCATTCAGCAAAGAGTAAAGTAATATAGAAGGTAGGAGAGCTGTCAGTGCGTAGAGAAACAAACATAAGCATTATGACGCACCCGGTTGGTAATCAGCAGTCAGCAGTTCGCTTCGTGTACTTCGTTATAACTTCCGGGTCCGTTGCTCGTAAGTTAATGTGAAATATGATAGAGTTGGGACCAACAACTGCAACTGTACTAACAGCGTTCATGTTGTTATCCACAACAAACTCTCACAACTGTTCGAGATAGTTCTGGTGTCTAGAAAGCTGTACATCAGTACTGATTCCGTTTAGGAGTGTTAATGAAAAGTTTTCAAAATGTTGTATACAGCAATGCTAAATGTACATAATGCTATGGACATATGCTATAATGTATCTAAACAATGCTAGGTTTCTAACGGGACACCGGCTGACGAATAACGAGACTAATATGGTCCTGATAACGTCACACAATGTCTCGTGGGTGTACTGTCTCCGTGTAATGCCCTGACTGCATTCTAACTCATTAACTACTGTTATGTTTACCGTTTTGGTTATGAGACGTCAGTGAAAAGATGAATAAAGCCAAATTCTAGGGTATTCATCCATTCGGACCCTCTTATTTTATTTGTTTGTCCAATCCCACTCGCGGGATTGTGGTCATTCCGATTTCGATGCTCTGTGGACTTCTCCAGTAACATTGGAAAACCTAAGGCATTCTCGAGTCAAATTCGAGAAAAGGGGAATGTACTCCCAGTGATTGAAGGATGTCAGCCTGCGGAAAAAGGTATTTGAATATATATATCGGGATCGATGTGTTACTAAATACATGAAGAAAGATGCCACTCGAATATATGTGGCTTTCTCTGTGAGCAAGTTTTCGAAGGACTTGTCGGCTCATCGGGACATCTTGATAGCCATAAAGAGATCTGCCTATCGGGCATTCGTGAGACCCGCCTACTCCATGATCATGAACCCTGAGCTATGGACATAGGAAGAAAAACTCGAGTGTCTACCCGCCTCCCCTATTCGCTGTCGGAAAACGTTCAAGTGAACCATGCGGGCCTAATCTCTGTTGAGACAGACTTCGTTCGACTGAAAAACATTACCAAGATAGCACTAGCAATACAAGAGAGACGGTTCAAATGGTTTGCATACTTTCAGTCGGTTGACTCGAGTGGAATGTCGTGGTCGCACTCTGGTGACAAAGTAAAAGCCAGCTCATGTCTCCTTCTTCATGAAAGTCAGCCAAGATGTTTACTGGTACCGAAGTATTTGGCCATCGCGTAAAGGAAAGTGCTGGACTCACTAAATCCCAGTGATCACAAAAAGACGTAGTCAATGTGCGTAACTACAGACTAACTGGTGAAATGTGGATAACCCTTAACGTGAAGCAGAACGCAAAATCCCAAAGTTAGCAAAGCATGGTGAACACTGCAAACTTTAAGTTCAAAAGAATGTTAGTAATATATGTGTCCGGTTGAGTTAGATGTCAAATGCGATTAAGTGTACACTACGCCCAAAATTGGAATAACAATGGATGGAGATAACATCTTGGCTCCACAACAACTAAAATATGCAAGCATTAAAAACATTGTCAGAAGACGAGGCCGCCTCGCAGGAGGCCTTAGGATTGCAATCATTATGGAATGAATAATAAGTGACAGGACAGCGTAGGAGCGTTATTAAGAAGACTGCAGAACTGGCGTGAACAAGGTGTATTAGTGGACACAGAAAAACGTCTGAGCTTAATCAAACGTAGAGGGTGCGGATGCCCAAAAGACGCCGACACTAAAGATCTTCATTTCGGGCGTAAAGTTGACACTAAGAAGGTTACAGCGTTAACGGTGAGCTTGAAAGAGCAACGAAAACGTCCACAGGCTAACAGGAACGCGTGTGATAGAAGGACGAAGAACCAACTTAATTTTATTTCAACTATAAGCAGCTTGTTTTGCAAACATAGGTGGCAAGTACTGACATCCGAACAACGGAACGCGCTGTTCATGCGTCGGAGAAAAGCGAACCGCTGGGCATGCCTGAGCTGTTCCAAGGTTTCCTACTAAGGTAGGCCGTGCAAAAAAGACCTCGCCGAAGCTTATCAGTTTATCAGCAACTAATGAGCGAACTAGAAGCAAGGCCGCCAGAACCAGGAAAAACGGACGTGTCCAAACTTCACAATAAAAAACTTTTGACTGAAACGATACATCCACCGGTAATGGAAGTGAAAAGGCGAGTCCAGATCGTACTTGAAAAGAAAGGTCGATAACTCCGCCCATGGGTTTTATGCCCTGACGTTTTAAAGATAACCAACCTTCGATCGTTGGCGGTAAGTTCTGCACGGCGTCTAACAGTATTGAAGGCACTACTGTATTACTCATGCTGGCATGCCAATGTTTTTAAGGTTGCCTGCGCTGGCTAAGTATCAGGAGGGATGAGATTGTTGTCAACGAGTGAGGGCCAGCGTCTGGAAACAACAGTCATTGCCTTCCTTTGCTCTGTTCGCTTTTGCTGAACAGACACCAATACCTCTTCCTTGTCTCCGTTTGCAATTCTCCGTACCCTTGTGACTGGTATTTGTTACGTCCGAACCGATGCTTTTGTTAAGAGCAGACAGACGATCTTTATAACGGACGTTTACGCGCGACCCGTGTCCACGATCGCATCTGGGCTGATGTCCTGAACGCAGGTTGCCAAAAGAGCTGCAGACTTAAAGTTCGACAAACTGCGGGAAGGGTTACACAACGGTTTGTAGAAGTTGCTGCGGTGTCAGCTTTATGCGCTTCTCCAGTCGCTTAATCGTTCCCTCGGCCCATGATGTCGGCGTCCTGGGAGTCGAAGGTAGGTTCACAAGTTGAGTAGCGTTTCTCACCAAAAAGAGTTAATCCATTCTTTTTACTGCTTCTACGCGTTTACTCATTGGGTTCTGCTATCCGCTGTATATCCCTATCCTAGAGGTTTTGGAATTCAATCTAGGTGGCTTCGATCCTGTAGTAAGGTTTTTTGGCGACGGTGAAGAAGACCAGAATAATCGCTTTCAACTCAAATTTCTTCGTGAACCGACCAAATTCATTCCAATTAAGACAGTCCTAAATTCTGGACGCACGTTAAAGTTGTCACTGAACAAGCAATCTCAAGTTCTCACAGGTAAGCCCTTAGAGAGCCGGACACCCTGGACTGGACTAGTCTCAAACATTCTACAATAAGTTAAGTACCAGATCATATTTCACCACGCAATTTTTTGCTAAAGTTCACTGGCGGACCCCTTCAAGTGAATGCTGCAGCTTTCCTCGTGAAGTTCATGAGCCACTTGATCGTGCATTGTGTGTCTCGTCATAACTGCCCAGCCTATTTTTCAGTTTATTGGTCCGCCTCCGGTATGATCGGTAACCCTTATCGGACTTCTTCGACGGCACTTCATTTGGCTTCTATGCCTAAATTCTGCGATCGCGTCATATTTGAATAGGCTCGAGCTATAAATGATCGCAATTAATCTGTCAAGGATAACGACCTACAATATTAATTCCTGAGTGTTAAAGATTACAGCCGATCAACAGGCGTCTGGCGCAAATCAACGTGTAAAAGCGCATATGACAACAATAACTGCAAATAGCTTCGAAATGTCAAACACACACCCACACACCTTATTAATAAAGGCGCTGCAGAAATATGTAATGTAAAAAGTCAAAAGTCTGCAGGGATTTCACGAAGTCAAGTAGAAGTAGATGCTTTCAATTTTTTGATAGTAAACGAGTCCTGGATGGCCTTTTGCTTCTGTACTCTTGGAATATACGTCCCAAGACAGTTTTTTAAGTTTGCAATAGCAATTCAGATGGTTGTGCTTGGGGCATGGTGACAATCGCAGCGGCTAAACTAGTGCGCAGAAGTCAAGGGTAACAAAGCGGAAGGTGAAAGTGGGCAAGGCCGACTTGAAAGGATACAATTTGAAAAAATGGCGGGAGCGAAAAGCCAAAGAAAGGTTACACTAATATACTATGTAAGTTGCCATAACACACAGTAAATTCTAATGGCATTCCAGTGCGACTAGCCTTTCTTTATTTAAAAGTGCTATTTAAATTCAGCCCATGCTCATCCGGCAAGTGCACTTTCGTGTTATCCAGCAGCCCAATCTACACGTTGATGTGCAAAATCTCTTTAAATCCATAAAACCTGTATCATCCTGGACACCCTGGACTCTTACATGGAATAAATGCATTTCGTAATAAATTTGCATGCAGGATTAAGTTGACCGTTTCAGTCTACGCGTCTCCGGGCTTCGTGGTGGGCTGTGGAAACTTAGTCTGTCGAAATGGTGTTCTTAATCGAGGCTCGAATAATTGTAACAATAATAATGCACTTATTTTTTATCGACTTTAAGAAAATATCGAAAAAAATTTACAGCGAGTTAGGTAACGAAATATAGGCAACATAAATTGTAACCCTCTATTTGGGCAGCCAGATGTACTGACGTCCGTCTGTGATTAGGTTTGTCAGTGCTGTACGTATGATAATTATAACTGCAAAATCCAAATTCGCAAATCCAGTCATAACTGCTGTTCTCCAAGTCGATATATCCTGACCGAGGTTATCCCGGAACTCCGGATTTTCACCCATTTCTTGACAGAGGTCTTAAGGGATCTCTAGTAGCATTGTTTTGCCCTCCGCCTCCTCGGCGATCATGGTGTCAGTATGTCCGTAGAAGTGCCGCATGGGCAGGCGCCCGTTCCAAATAATTTGCCTCAGGAAGTCGTGGAAGTTGAGAATTCCGGTCTGTTCCTGGACCCCGTGCCTAAGGCACTGACCTGTTACAT